GAATGTCTGTCCATCTGCGATGCCTACTGACATGCCAAACTCATGCATGCTCATAGCATGGCATTTGGAGAAGGCTCCGAGATGGACCTGGTCCTGTTTCACAAGTAACTATGAATACTGAGAGTGGTTCACCTCTTTTTGACCTGGTTGTTTCCCATTTCTCTCAGCTCTGGTGATGAAACTAAACAAGCTGTTTCCATTTGGCATTCTCAGGGCATTGCCAAATGCCGTGACATCTGAATTGCTAATGGTATAAGGGACGGGGTCTTCACAGCTCACAAGAAACCCCTCTTCACTGAAGTATTTCCAGTAAAATGCTTAAGTGGTTAATTTTTTAGACAGCTGTCTCTCTCTCTGCTCCTCCACCAAAAAAGCTGAATCTAAGGCATATATTACCTGACTGTTTCCCTTTTAATGCAGTCAGTTCATATATAAAAAAATATTATATTTGGGGTTTTTTCCTGCTATAAAAACCGTAAGTAAGGGCTGTGGATGGAGAGAAGGGAAGACTGGAGCTCAAGGGCTTGCAAAGAAACCTCAAGCTTAAGTCTGCAATGCATCTGGAATTTGTGCAACAAGCAACAACCCAAAGAGGGGAATCTGTGTTCTAGAAATGGGGGATTTATGAATCTAAAAGTAAAGAGGCTGTATGTATATCCATCACCTTTACTTACCAGCTGCCATAGTCCTTGCCATTGCTCCCAGAAAGACCAAATCCCAGGACATCACTACAGCAAAGATGTGGTTTGCTAGTACTGGAACAAACCTTGGAATCCAAAAATTATGCTGGTGAACCCCAGCAATGAATTATAACTGGATGATCCAGCTTCCCCTTTCGCCCTGGAAGGTCATGCCTCAAGACTAATACGCTGGCAGCAAGGACATCAAAGTGATGTAGGCTTGGATGGTTCTTGTTGCCAGTGGAAGGGCAGCCTCCAGAGCGTTGGAGGACATTGTTCGAGTCTGGGGGGAGGAAGATGTGGGACTTTGCAAGTGAAAAGGCCAAACTGAGAACAACACCAAGAGTTCTTTTAGGTGTCATACAAAATGCCAGAGTGGAATCAAGGAATGCAATGCAATGCCCAGAGAATGGCTTAACTTTGCTACATGCCACCTCATGCACACAATGCCAATATTGGAACATTCCCTGGACAACAAGAAGCAGAATGCTTCAGATCAAATTCAGCCCTGGCATAACTGGGTAAAGCCATATCAAAGCCATGGTGTTATACCAAAGCTCAATTTAGTCCATTGAGTTGACAAAACAAAAAACAGGGGCCATATGTTTAGCCAAAACACTAGTCAAATATTTCACATGGAGTCATCCAAGCGTGTGGGAGTCTGCAACACTTCAGTATGACTCCAAGCTTGGCTGCCTTGCAATCAAGCCCACACTTCCGTGCTTTCTACACTCCCTCCCACCCTTCCAGCACAGTGCATTCCAGTTCATGGAGTATTCCCCTCGCAGCTGTGCCTTTCAACACAAGAACTGGGTCCAACACAGCACCTCCTTTCCACCATCTCACCCCTCCAGCCCTGCCAAGGAAACGAAGTTGAACGCCAGGCTGATCCATTGCACGTGGCTACGGGCTTGGCACTTTTTAAACTTTGAGGCAAAAGGAGATTTACAAAATTAAATAAATAAATAAATTAGCATGGAAAAATAAACAAACAAATAAAACCAAATTAAAAATATTTCTGAATCTCTACAAAAATAAATAAATACATAAATAAATAAATTAAATTAACATGACAAAACAAGCTGAGGGCTCCCTGACCCCAACCTTCACTCACATTCAGGCCCTCCCCTCCTGTTTTTGCACTGGCACGTCTCTTTGGGGTATCATGGAAGTAGGAGAGGTAGCCCTGATCAACACATGACCCCTGGTTGAGTTTATACCCTCATACAGATGCCATTCGTGTGCTGGCACCCCTGAAAGGTTTCAAACGCTCTGCAAGGCTCAGAAAACCAAAATACTTGGTAGGAATGGAGAGAGAGCAAAAGACAGACAGACAGACTACAAGAATAAAGTCTGTTTCGTGGGGCTATCCAAGGATGGTGTGTTGGCCAACAGGGATGAGAAGCAAGGGGGAATGGAGGATGGAAGTCACGCTGAAGGGCAGATAACAAAAGCCACAATGCGATGCTCGCACTTGGTGTTCCCCTTACAGAGGCAGATCAGTGCTGTTATGCCGCGTTTTCCTCGAAGTCCCATCATCTCTGGGCAGCGCCCTCTGCAAGTTGGACATGGCTGCTGTCTTTTTGAGGTCAATGACCGCGTAGGAGTCCGTCCTGCGGGCTGGATGGGTAGCAGGAAGCGGGGCGCAGGGGACCTGGGGTTTCTGGCACCCTTTGTGGGGGTCAGCCTCCAGCTCCACCTGGATGTAATTGAGCTGCCTCTGCTGCTCCGGGCAGGGCCGGCGGAAGTCGAAGTTGAAGATGCTGGGCGTGCAGTTGCGGAGCTGCTGCGGGAAGTTGCCGTGGTGTAGGCTGCCATGCAGCACAGTGCTCTCCGAGTTCATGTAGTTCTGCAGGGGGTCATCTTCACTAGGCTCGCGGTAGCCATTCGGGGAAGGGGTCAGCGCATCCCCAGAGTCCTCATCATCCTCATCCTGCCGCAGGGGCTGGCACTCCCACACGGGAGGCAGTGATGGCAGGTTTTCATAGTGCAGCAGGGCTGTCCTGCGGTGAGAGCAGCTGTTCAAGCCCAGGTCTTCCCGGGTGAGTTTCAAGCGACCGCTGTGCCGGAGCGAGGCACCCCCAGGGGGGAGCAGGCCATTTATGTTTTCATACATGCACTTGGGCATGGGGTACTTGTCCTTACACTTGTTGTTGTTGTTGGGAGCACAGATATGTCCCCCGCACTCCCGGTGGTGCCGGCAGCAGCTGTCACATTTCACCATGTGCCTGCAGCCAGGGGCAGGACCCAATACAAACTTCACCTCCCCTGGCTGCAGGAAGACTTGGGGGTTTCGGTCCTCCAGCGAGCAGCTGTGGTTCCTGTGAGGGAAAGGAGGATGGACTTCAGGCAAGGTGTGCATACAGTGCCGGCCTCTCATCTCCCCCTCGCCATTGGTGGTGTTGACGTACGTGTGGGACTGCAAAGAGAGCAAGTGGGTTTTAGGAGCAGAAGAATAACAGCAGGAAAAGAAACAAGACAAAAACGTGGCTGGTGGATGAGCGCCTACAGGGGAAGGATAACAGGTTTGGAAGCTGATGAAGCAGAGGTAGAGGATGGATCCTTGGTGGTTGAAGAGACTTCGGGCAATGGAAATCAGGTAATTCGTGGTCTGAGAAGCAGAGGCTAGAACTTGACGGGGGGTGGGCCTAGCTAAAGTAAAATTACACTCACCACAACAACTCTTACGCACTAACTATGCAGCATGTGTGGAAAGAGGAAAGAACTTAATTTCCTGTCACAGATTTAACTTCAGTTTGAGGAGTGGAATGAGCAAGATATGAGCTTCCAATCACCTTCCTACAACAGTACTCTTCTAATATAATAAAAAAACCCCAGCAATTATTATAACATTCCTGTAAGGCCTCCTCACTGCCCATTAGTCTGAGTGGATTCTGCTTCTTGGTCCTGTAAGTCCCCACACTTTGGGGGCTGTTACATGTTGGGACTGATACATGACATTGTGATACACATCTTTAAAAGAAAATCCTTTTGGCATGACCGACTCGGGCACATGGGATGGTCTGAAACAAAATACCTAGGCTTTGTTTTTAAACAAGTTTGGTTAAACCTCTGACAAGGAGTACATGCATTTCCAGCTGCACAGGCTTTTTCATGAGATGTCTTCTTGAGCTGCTTACATAAATGTCCTAGAACACCATATTGGAGGTGCCTAGGTTTGCCCAGTTTTGCAGGAAAAGATACCAAGATGCTATTAGAGACAAAATATAATGGACCGGCTGGCTACAGTAAGTCCTAGGATCCTAAACAGAGAGCAGAGGGAGTGCAGTAGAAGCAGTTAGCCAAGTAGCATAGTGAAGCAAATGCCATGGGAGGGCCTGAGTTTGGGCATCCAACCTTGAGCCCAGCTTGGACTTGCAGCCGCTGGGAAAGACATGAGAGCAGCTCACTCAGTCAGACTAAGAGGGGGAATTACTTGTTCCTGGGTGCAACCTAGCAATTTTCAGTAAAACGACTAAGGAGGAGCAAGTTACAAGGTAAAATGGCCCCCTGGAGCTATGCAGAGGTATAGGTCTGGCATTCCAAGGCTCTACACAGAACTGATGTGCTACATATTCCCCACAGCAACAACTATCAGGGCTTACCTGCTCATCAGCCCCGATGAGGGCGTGCGTAGAGTCCTCCCCAACAGAGGAGTGCCTCAAGCTGCTCATGGAGGGGTGTCTGGTTGTGGAGTAGGATGGGGCTTCCCCAGGGAAGCTGTGAAATCCATTGGGGAACCCTGGAACAGTGTACCCCAGAGCTGAGGAGGAATGGTAGAGACACATGCATTAGAGGCAAAGCATTACCCAGCCCTTGCATACAAGCATAACAACATGGCACAATGCTTGGCTCAACAGGCAGGTCAGACAGCAGAACATGGTTGGCTGAGGTAGGTGCTACTACATCAGTGTGTGGCCTAAACATGCTACTAGGTCTCCTTGGATAAATTCAACAGCTTGCAAGTCCCTGCTATTCAAGTGGGAAACACTCAAGCAAACATGAATTCCTCTAGCTGGGGTTTTCTTCAGGAGCCCCCTCACCTCCTATTTCTTGGAAACAAGATCTCACACCCAGCAGATGGCTGGGGCTTTAGGAGGAACATACTGCATACGACAGGCGTGGTCTGAAGCACCCAGCCCAGAGGTTAGGCAGCTAATCCCAGCCACCAGGGTTGTGCCCTTGGCTAGAGGGCTACAGAGGCCAGGCTGGACCACCTTCCTATATCCATTTCCCCTCCACCCCAGGCATTCTAGAAACCTTACTGCTGGGTGTCCGTGGGGTTCGGGACAGCTCACGCTCAGTAGGGTGACTGCTCCTAGTGATGATGACTGGCTCCTCCACCACGTTGATGCTGTTACACTGCATCAGGTCTTGCAGCAGGTTAAAGATCTCCTCTGCTCTGGAACACTTGAAGGCAAAGATCCCTGTGCAAACAGAAAGAGAGGAGTGGTAAAGGAGAGGGCAACCTCATTTAAGTAAGAAGGAAAACTGGTCCTCTGAAGGCAAAAGAGTTCAAGAACTGATTGTAAAGAGGTTTTCTACTTAACACAATCAACCTAAGCTTGGTAGGAGAGATTAGACGAAAAGAGATTGGACACTGAAGTCACAGGAATGTTCACCCTCCAGTGGGCAGGATAGATTTGTTGGCAATACAGCAGAACCCAGATTTTTCATATAGGGATGGCCTGAAACCTGCTTAATAAAGGAAACTGCTAAATTGAGGATGAGCCACAAAGCTGGTTGCTCCAGCTACATGAAGAAATGGCATACTCCAAAATAAAAGCTACAACAAACAGCTGGAGCGCCTCAGCAGTCCCCCACAGCTATTTGCTGTAGCTGCATATACCCCGAATTCACAAACACACACTTCCTCACAGGGGAGGGATGGCAAGAAAATTACCCCTGCAAGATACCCAAGTTTATTATATAAGCTCTCGTGCTTCCGGTTATAAGACACCACCACAAAAGAGGCTTTTCCAATAGGCAGGCTGAGTTATAATGGCTCATTAGGAAGTTTCTTGCGTCTTCCTCTGGAAGGTGAGCTACCAGCCAGTGCTCAAAACAAGGCACAGATGACCGATTTGGCTTAGGTATTCCTATATTCCTCTACACATAAACACATGATTTACAAGGCAATGTTCTGCACCATATTCTTGGTATTCAGATAAACATTGCCATGACATTTCTGTATAGCAAATCCTCTTCTTGTATCATTAAAAACATAATGTCACAGTCACTATCTGATCAACTAGCACATCTATTACCAACCTTATAATTAGCCCCATTCAGAAATAAGGCTATAGTTATCATACAAGAAAGATCCTGCATTGGCAGAGGCATGGACTGGAGAAACCAACCGTGCTTGTTCCATCTTTCACTTTCATTATTTCATTTCTCCTGAAGTCCAGGTCAATTCCTACTGTCTGTAGGCCTTGTTAGGCAGGCCTTGAAGAGTTAAATTAATATAGCCTCCTAAAGAAATGGTAAGTGAGACTGTTCGGGAGTGGGCTGCAGCTGTACAGCAGGAGCAGCTGCTAGAACTAATGAGGGAGGCCAGGTAAGAATGAGGGCAGGTGAGAGTAGTGATTGGCTGTACCTGTCCAGCTGGCTCAGTACCAGACAAGATTACAGAAATATGTGTATGATGAACCAGTTAGATCAGCAGTTTTCAACCTCATTAGACTCAAGGCACTACTTGGCAAATGCCAACACTTAGTTTTCACTCATTTTTTGACTACAGAAAAATAACAGAGCAATTCTTCTGTTGCAAAGAATTCTGAAAGGTCGCAACAGATCAGCATGTTTTAACACTGTGGATTCCTATTTGAAACCTCTGGGTTTATCTTGCGAATTATCTTTGCACATCTAAAAGTTCTAACATTGGTTGAGAACCTTGAGTTCGATGAATCATGTACTAAGAGTTAGGCAGTAAAGACTGCATAGGTCCCAGATCCTACCTAATTTCATGTTCAGCATTCTGACTGGTTAATAAACATATGATCAAGGAATGCATCGATACAATTCAGTGTGCGTTAGCTAGTGACATGGCATTTATTTGCGGGCAGAAGATGGATTCATTTGAAAGAGACTCTGAATCTATGTACTCTTACATATATCCTCTCTGTTGGCCAGCTTGATCACCTTGCTGGCAGGGAATGAAGCTAATCTTGTTACACTCACTCTCTCTTGAAGCATGTTGCAGTCAGGGTTGACAGCCCCTTAGAAGCAATAACTCTGTCAATGGAAGTCTTTCCATTGACTAATGGGAAGTAGGCCGGGGCTCTGGAATGCATGAGAGGGTGGGGGAACAGCAGTACAGTTTGAAAATGCATCAAATTAAATGATAACTCCCTGGATAAACATCCTGACCAACAGCTAGCGTGTGCGAACCAACCAACCACAGGCCAGCAGGCACATACACGCACAAAACCCATAGCAACGGGGACCGCATGGCAACAACAGCTGCTACTCTGAAGAAAAATGTGAAAAATATTCTTGCCAAAAATATATGTATCTGTCTTATTTAATGAGGATAGGAGGAGCAGCAGGGTGGAATCATCAAAACAAAATCAATTAAGCGAGAAAATTTCCTACGAGGGAGGAAAAGCAGCACAGGAAGTGTTTTTGCCCTGTGTGCACAATGGCTTTTCTCTGATTTATATCTGCATAGAGAAGATTGATGACTTAGCCTGTGCGGGCTGAAAATGTCTTGTATATCAATGGCTCTGCTCTATCCCTGTGATCCAGATCTCTAAAGAAAACCAAAGCAAACAGAACTGCATTCTAATGACAAAGCAGGCAAACACAAAGACACAGTTCCCCCTGCTGACAACTGAGAAGCATGCGACTCAACTATAGGAGAGCCCCATTTATATAAATATTATAGAGTAGCATATGGCATTGCAAATTTACACAGCACTTTATAGGCAAACAGAGAGCCATGACGAGGCCTAGGGGACTCGTCAACATACTCGATACAAACTGAGGAATGTAACTTTTTTTAGCACTAAGCGCCAAGAATATGATCATCTCTTTACAAGAGAAACACTGACAGACTGTGTTCACTGGCTCAGGGACTAATGGAAAGCGTGGGACAGTGGGAGTCAGGAAACCTGGGTTCTCCTTCCAGCTCTGCCACTAGTTCAGTAAATGCCCCTAGGGGAGTCACTGCAATTCACCATGCCTCAGTTTCCCCAGGAGTCAAATGATGCAGATATGAAACTCCCACTCTCCCCACCTTGTAAAGTGCTGTGAGATCCCTGGATAGAAAGCATTACAAAGCACTGACTATTAACCAAAGTGGAGGGAGACAACATAAACCATTAGGAAGGCTGGAGGAGGACAGGGTTATTTCTTAAATTACTGATATCACCCACTCCCTTTTTTCATTCTTTTCAGCACAGAAAAGCCAACCCCAGAACTCCCTCTGCCACCTGGCTTCCCATTCAACTCAAACTTCATCCCCAGTTTGTTTGGCTTCTGATGGGATGCAACACACCACAGAAGCAATATCCCAAGTTACGCTTTAAAATTACCAGCATTAACAGTAAACACTTACAGGTATTACAACACCCCAGGAGTGGGATACTGCTGGCACTCGTAAAGATTTATTAGATACCAAAAGCAGCAAAGAAATCAGCACCAAGGCAGCACACAAGCAAGAGCTGTGCAGTCACTACCCCATTAAGCAGGGACCATCCACGCACCCTGTCCGGTCTGGCAGCGGCGCCCACTCTCAAAGGAGAAGAGGCTGGAGTCATAGCCATAGCGGCGCAGGCAGAGGTAGGGCCACCTGACAGCATCACGCTTCCGAGTGTGCAAGATGAGCTCCGTCTGCGTCAGCTCCATGATCCCAGATCCCAGCTCGTTCCCCTCATCGTCCACGTTTGTTACCTGCGGAGGCACCAAAGTTCACGTCAGGAAGCCCAGCGCACTGTAGCAAAGGACACCTTAGGGACTATGGCTTCCTCGAGATGCCAAGGTGACTTGGCGACTGCAGCCTCCTCAGTCCAGGTAGCATACCTCAGGACAGGCATGAAGAGCAGAGAGCTCACACTCGCTCCGACTTTCAGCCTCCCTGCTAAACAGCAGCAACCCTACTTTCACAATGCAGAGATCTGTCTATTAGACGCTTGACCAAAATCTGCAGACTCCTTTTGCACAGGCCACCCAGCTAGAACACAGAGATAACTTGACACCCAATGCAAAAGGCTCCACAACATAAGCCACCCAATTTCCCCTCCATAGGGCACGTTCTCCCTCTAACTCCAAGGAGATGAACCTTAGCACAAGTGAAAGTTTCACTGCATGCAGAGGATGCACCCTTCAAGAAGAATTCCCAGCTTAAAATCAACACCACATTTGCAAATCACTCCCTTCCCTGATGAAGACCTCCCCAAGATGAGCATAAGCTTCTTACTTCCTTAAACGCACAGATTCGCACTAGACTCAGTTGGCTTAAATTCATAGCAGCTGCTCACACTGCAGGGCTTTTCCCTCCAGGAGGAAGGCAAACTTACCTTAAACTTGGTGGGGTGGTTGTCCGGGATGCTGTCTCTGCACAAGTAGCTACAGCAGCTCCCCATGACGTCAGCATACCAGGTAAGCTCTGGGAGTAGGAAAAGAAGACGACAAAGGCATAAATCCAGAGATTTCACATTTTCAAGCCATAAAGACCATCTCCCCCCAGTCACTGACCCACTAGATCCTTACCCAGTTGTGGCCATCAGGTGATTTTTTTTGTGGGGGAGGGGAGGAATTCCCACTTCAGTCCCACAATCCTCTGCTAGGTGTCATGGTAACCAGGATGGCAAGAAGTCACCTGAAGCACCATGGAAATTGTCCCATTTTTCACCTGATAAAAACACAATTTAAGAGAACAGAAATTGAGAGCACAGAACACTTGCTATCAGGTAGAGGGCTAATTTTTCCCCAAAACTCTTAACACTTTCTAAAATATGACTCGGAAGGAATACACAAACACAATCAGTGCTAAAAGTATTGCTCAAATTTACTTTTATGCAACACTCAGCACAGGCCAGCATTGCAAAACTCTGCACACCTGCTATGTGCTGGCAAGGATGCATGTCAGGTGTTAAAGTCTTTGCAAACCTCCTGGGGAAAGAGATTAGACAGGGACAGTGAAATCCAATGGGGACCTTAACAGCATGAATTACCCTCTGGGGGCATATTAGAGCATGGGTTTAAGAGAGCCAATCCACCATACAGCAGGTGTTTGAATTGATGGGGATGTTAGCGGGAAAAGCAAAGGGCAAAGCCAACTGATTCCAACTTCATCAAACAACCTGATGTCGGCTGCTTTTCCTGCTGCAGCCTTCTCGGTTAGTGAATAGCATCCCACTTGCACCGCTCCAGTTCAGTGCAGGTTACGTTGCCACACACACCCATATTCCACTCTACAGACACGTTCGTGAATTTGGCAAAGATGCCTGCACCCGCTTGCCCCTGAATGAGCTAGACCCAAAGGCAATATATAGTTGACTGTTAAGGAATTAGCTCCACATTGCTCATAAAGAAAGCGAGGCTGGGAACACAGATGGAGAAATGAATTGTCACACAGAAACACAAGCACTTTCTGCCTCACTGGGTAACTGCAGACAACTACAGCCCTCAGCCAAGTCGGAGCATTGCAAAGCCTTGCCGGCAGCTTCACCTTGTCCCAACTCCTGCAACTTCAGCAAGAGCAAAAGGCTGTAGCCCACTCTCCTGTGGGGTCTGGGAAGCGCAATCACATTCCTCTCCCCACCACCCACCCCCAAATGTCAAGAATTACACAGGTTCCCTGCTCACTTCAGGAGCCTTTCAACCCCAACTTGTTTGTTAAGCCCTCTCCATAGCCCTGTTCTAGTTAACTTCACAAACTTTCGCTGCAAACCTAGATCTAGATTCCTCTTCCATCTAATCTGGTCACTGGTGGCACAGCTTTCTCCTTCTGCCATCAGAACCATTTCTATTGCCCCCGGCCTCTTTAGGTCTCCATCGAACTTCCAAGTTTTGTACAAACCATCTATTTTTTTCCCACCTTTTCCTTCCTCTCCTAGTTTTTTTCTGGATCTTGGCTCAAGCTCTGGGAACTGTTTGCAGTGGGGGGTTATAGTTTCCACTGGAAGACTGCGAGACTCCCTGCCTCGAAGATCCTTGAAGAGCCAAGTCAACCAGTCATTGCAGCCTCATTGCTGAATATTTTGCCAATGTCTATTCCATGCAAATTCCTAGGTTAGAACTTTAGTCTCAGTACACACTTCTTATGACTCTGTTTCCATGTCCAGATGTGCCAACTACCCAGATCCCTTGGGATGCATACACTACTGAACAAAACCCTGGCATCCTTGCACCATGCAAGTGCCTTTTGCATTTAAACACTGAACAGACCATTTCTTGCAATTTCCTCATGCTTAATTGGCTCTGCTTTCTACAAAAAACAAACCAGCTGCATTCCTTAGTACTATGAATACCTGCAACTGTTCAGCTCAGCCAAGAAAATAGCATTCTCCTCAAAAGATGCAGGTTTCCATGCACCTGCCTGCCTCTCTTAAGGGCTACAGTGGAATATGCTGACCTCCCACCTTACAGATGGAGTCTGAAGTCACACCTGGCAAGTTTTCTTGTGACATCCATTTTCTACTTAAGGGGGGGGGAACAACAAGTTAAGTCTTGCAAAATAGGAAGTAGGCATCCAACCTGCACTGACAGTCCACAGAAGTTGTGCGCCTAACTTCTGGGAGTGCTTTTCAAAACCTCTTCCAAACATTTTTAAGAAAACAGAAGGAAAAAAAAATAGCCGTATAGAAAATTCCAGCTTTTCCAGTTGCCTACCCAAATCTCAACTGTTTTTATTGGGAGCTTTTATTAGATACCTTATAGGTGTCTAACTCAACAACTCCTTTGGACACCAACAAAACCTTGAGAAACACTAAGCAGAGGCTACCCAATTTACGTGCATGCCGACTAAGCACATAATTCCCCTGCATAACAAAACCAGTCCTAATACGTGGAAACTGTGTAAGCAGTCAGCAAACACTAGTTATCCACGTATCGGTTAAGGGCACAAACTTCTTCAGTGCAGAGAAAATTTCAGCTCCACTGAAATGTGCATCTTAATGGCATTCTGGTTAACGGCACTTTGTAGCTACGACTAAGTTTAACCGTGCCAGAAACGGACAAGAATAAGCAGCCGTCAAAGAGCTCTTGGTTGGACACTTTTTAAACGTGGGGTCGGCCAGTCGTGGAGAAGCCAAAGCACGACAGCGCAACGCTGCCCAGGCGACGGGAGCCCTGAAACGAGGCTTCGAACGGCAAGCCTAGCTAAAACTGACTATCAAAAGCCTCGAGTCTCAGGGGAGCTGCCAATACCCAGCACCGACGGAGCTGCCTGTGTGAGCAGCGCCTTTCCTACGAAGTACTGACGAGCGCTCGCTCCAGCAGCGCTCGTTTTCCAGCCCCGCGGCCGGAAAACACCACGACTCGCCCTCGTCGCAACAGCTCCACCTCCTCTCGCCTCGCCTCGCCCGACCCTCCTTTCCCGCACACCCTTTTTCCCCCCTGCAACGATCTCCATCCGATCAAACAACACGTTTGCGCGGCGGGAACGCAAGCGGAGCAGACTCCCTTTCACGCCTCTCGAGGGGGCGAAGGCGGCCGCCGGATTCGCCGAGTGAGACACCTTAAGCTCCCCGTAAAAAGCAACCGAGATCCGAGTAACGCTGGCATTTTCCTATCGTTTGTTCCTCCTGGAGGGGCAACCGGCTGACTTACCGGGTGACAAACCTATCTTCAAAAACAAAACGAGTGC